CGATGCTCTCGGGATTTTAGATTTCCCGCTGGAGGTTGAGATTGCGGATGATCGTACCGTGAGTGCTTCGAGGGTTCATCATGGGTGTGTTCTAAATCTATTTAGCGAGAGGTACTTTATTGATTTGGTGCTGATTCCCCTGCGGGGATCGAAGGTTATTATCGGGATGGATTGGTTGGGTCCCAATGGGGCCATGATTGACTGTGAGCGGTAGTTAGTGAGGGTTCGAACCCCAAGTAGGGGAGAACTGGTTATTTCAGGCGAGGGAGTTTCGCATGGATCGTCTCTCTGTTCAGCTGTGAGGGCCAGGAGATATCTTCAGCAGGGTTGTTCTGGGTTCTTAGCTTATGTTGCAGACATTCAAGTTGAGGGAAAGAAGGAGTTGAGCGGGGTGCCCATTTTCCGGAATTTCCCAATGTATTTCCTGAGGATTTTCCAGGAGTGCCTCCCGAGAGGCAGTTTGAGTTTTGGATTGATCTGTTTCATGGTGTGGCCCTGATAGCCAAGGCACCGTATCGCTTGGCACCGCCAGAGATGCAGGAGTTGTCTACGCAACTTTAGGAGCTGTTAGACAAGGTTTTTATTCGTCCGAGCAGTTCTCCACGGGGAGAACTGATTCTATTTGTGAAGAAGAAGGATGGTTCACACATAATGTGCATTGATTACCGGGAGTTGAATAAGCTAACGTTGATGAACTGTTACCCACTTCCGAGGATTGACAATTTGTTTGATTAGCTTCAGGGTGCATCTTGGATTTCCAAGATTGATTTACGATCGGGGTACCATCAGATGAGGGTCAGGGATGATGATGCGCAGAAGACAGCCTTCATGACTCGTTATAGTCATTACGAGTTTATGGTGATGTCATTCAGGCTCACCAAATCACCAACAACGTTCATGGATCTCATGAACCGAGTCTGCATGCCGATGTTGGATCGGACTGCGATAGTATTCATTGATGATATTTTGGTCTATTCCAAGACCAAGGAGTAGCACGAGGAACATTTGTGAGACGTGTTGGAAACCCTGAGGAGGGAGATACTTTATGCCAAATTCTCCAAATGTGAGTTCTTGTTGCGCGAGGTGCAGTTGCTGGTGCACATCGTCAATCAGAAGGGCATCTTGGTCGACACGGCCAAGATCGAGGATGTGATGTGATGGGAGGTTTCGAGGACCCCATCTGAGATTCGGAGTTTCCTAGGTCTCGCAGGGTATTATCGGAGATTTATCCAGGATTTCTCCCAGATTGAAGTGCCTTTGACTCGCTTAACAAAGAAGAATGTGGTGTTTCGATGGGGGTCCGATCAGCAGCTGGCTTTTGAGACTCTGAGGCAAAGATTAGGTGAGGCCCCGATTCTCGCGCTTCCTGAGGTTTTGGATGATTTTGTGGTTTATTGCGATGCCTCTATTTCGGGTTTGGGAGTTGTCCTTATGTAGAGGGGTCACGTGATTGTTTATGCTTCGAGGTAGCTGAAGCCTCATGAGGAGAATTATCCTACGCATGATTTGGAGCTGGGGGCGGTGCTTTTCGCCTTCAAGATTTGGAGGAACTATCTATATGGGGTTAGATGTATTGTTTAAACTGACCACAAGAGTTTGAGATATTTGATAGATCAACCGAATTTTAATATGCGGCAGTGGAGATGGCTGGATGTGGTAAAGGATTATGATTGCGAGATCCTGTACCACCCTGGGAAGGCCAATGTGATGGTCGATGCTTTGAGCCGTAAGGCCGTGATTTCTTCTATCAGGGATATCTGCTTGAGGATGGTTGTCACTTCGCCTTTGTTAGATTTGATCAAGAAGGCTTAGGTGGAGGGATTGAAAAATGAGAATTGGAAGGCTGAGCGGATCAGGGGACATATTCCCTTATTTGTCAGAGACAATCGGGGGTTGTTGACTCGGTGTGGTAGAGTCTGGGTTCCGACAATAGGCGGGGTGAGGCAGACAGTTCTGGAGGAGGCGTATAAGTCAAAGTTCTCTATCCACTCGGGGGCCACGAAGATGTATAGGGATCTGAGGTTGAATTATTGGTGGCCCTGTATGAAAAGGGAAATAGCTTGGTTTGTTGAGCGGTGCCTGACTTGCAGGAAAGTCAAAGCCGAACACCAGAGACCCCACGGCAAGATGCAGCCCTTACCCATTCCCATGTGGAAGTGGGAAGAGGTTACCATGGATTTCATCACAAAGCTGCTAAGAACGACACGTGGATTTGATTCAATCTGGCTCATTGTTGATAGGTTGACCAAGAGTGCGCATTTCATACCGATTACCGAGAGCATATCTGTTGAGAAGTTAGCTGACATCTACGTTTGGGAGGTGGTAGTTAGGCATGGGGTGCCGGTTTTGGTGGTTTCGGATCGGGATGTTCGTTTCACCTCCAGGTTTTGGAGGAAGTTTCATGAGGAATTGGGTGCTCAACTGCATTTTAGTACAACATACCACCCCCAGACTGAAGGCCAAAGCGAGCAGACAATTCAAATGCTCGAGGATATGCTTCGGGCTTGTGTACTAGATTTTGGAGGGAGTTGGGATACTTACCTTCCACTGGTCGAGTTCTCCTACAACAACAGTTATAATCTCAGTATTGATTGGCCACCGTTTGAGATGTTGTATGGAAGGAGGTGCAGGACCCCGATTTGCTGGGGGGGGGGGGGAGGTCGGGCATCGGGTCATTGGGAGTACTGAGGTTGTACTCAAGACCACTGAGTTGATTCAACAGGTGCGCCCCAGATTCATTGGTCCTTTCAAGATATCCGACCGGGTGGGCACGGTTGCATATCGGTTGGGTTTGCCTGATGAGCTCAGCCAGATCCACAACACCTTCCATGTGTCTCAGCTTCGGAAGTGTGGGGCCGATGAGTCCGTAGTTGTTCCTCCGGATGACATTCAGGTTGATGATCGCTTGAGTTATGTGGAGAGACTGGTGGCGATCTTGGATCGAAAGACATAGGCTTTACGCAACAAGGAAGTGTCTCTGGTCAAGGTCTAGTGGCAGCATCGGAAAGGTTCTTAATGGACGTGGGAGTCTGAGGCGGAGATGCGAGAGCACTACCTGATTTATTCGCGGCAGCGGACTTCGAGGACGAAGTCTAGTTCAAGTGGGGGAGAGTTATAACATCTTGTTCTTCCAGGTATTCACCCTTTTCCCCCTTAGTATATGATTATTTCCAAAGTGGCCTTTATGGCATTTTTGTATTTTGGGGGCAGCATGGGTACGCTGGTCGTACATGCTGGTACGTTGGGCGTACCTGGTCTCGCGCAAGTACATTGAGCGTACACTAGTACGCAGGGCATACGTAGCTTGGACCAAATCCTAAAATTTAGGGTTTGTGCACTATTTAAACACCCTTATAGCCCCAAAACCCTTCCTCTTATCAACCTTCATCCCTCATATCGACCCCCTTGCAAACCCTAACCCATTTTGATCATTTTTAAGCTTTTGAGTGAGTTGTGGGTATTCTTGTTTGTGAAGGAAGATCATCAAAGAAGTGGTTTTGCTCTCAAGTCCTTGGATCCAGCATTTTCTCTTCATTGTGCACCATTTAGAGGTATAAAGTTCCAACCTTGATTCATGTTTCTCTAGATCTTGGTTAAGCTTAGATTTTTATCCCTTTTTGTCCCAAAACCTAGGTCTTTGTGAGTATGAGGTACTCCAAAGCCTTTAAGCTGTCCTTTCAGACATTTTAGTGTATTTTAAGTCATAAAAATGCAAGCTTAGATCTTGGTTTGTCCCCATGCAAGAGTTATGGTGTGGCAAATGATTGAATAAGTTAGGTTTTTAGTGTTGGGCTATAGCCATGCAAAGGCATAAAGATTGCAACTTTATGGCCTTAGAGGTTTTAATGAGCTTAGATCTGAAGTTTTGGACGTAAGGTCTTAAGGCATTATGACCTTAATGAGAGTTTTGACCTAGGCTGCGTACGCCGAGCGTAAAAGTATGTACGATGTGCGTACTACACCTCGACCCCGATTTCCCTCTTGCATCAGTCGTTGTACGCGGGGCGTACAAGGTGGTACGCAGGGCGTACAGCGCAGTTTCATCTTTTAGACGGCCTTGAACCATTAGGTGTTGGGCTTTCAGGTTAGGCCGAATGGGAAGGGCAAAATGACCTTTTTGCCCCTAATTAGGATATTGGGATTTTTGGACCATTTATTATGAGTTAAAAACCCGGATTATTGATTAGGGTTATTTTTGGGATTTAATTATTGTGAGGAGCCGTGTTAGCAGCAGCTCGAGTGTGTGGCTTGATTATCTTCTTTTAGAGGTGAGTCTCCTCACTAGATCCATGGGTGGAAGGCACCAACGTCGACCCATTACTTTGCTGTGTAGAATGTTAATTGTTTATGTGATAATTGCATTAAAGACTAAGATCTGCCCCTAACAATTGTATGAAAGACCAGGATCTGCCCCTGACACTTTTATGAAAGACCGGGATTTTGCCCTCGGCATTGCAAGGAAAGACCACGATTTGGCGCATGGCAGAAAGTGACTGTAAGACTATGATTCGGCCCATAACATTCATTATCTTGTGTGTGGTACGTGGTACTTTAGAGAACTCACTAAGTTTTGTACTTACAGTTTTGTTTATAGTTTTAAGTACTTCTGGTTCGAAATGGAAGGGTCTGGCGTGATGGCACAGCATCTTCCCCTCATGATTTCCACATTCTGAATAATTATACTATGATGTTATTAATCACAAACCAAAACCGCCTATCCTTTTTAACACAAAGATCCATTAAATCCTATTTGTTATAATTTGTCTTACAAAATAATATAGGTGAAGGCTCGAATAGTTTAGTTGTTAGTTGAGGGACCATGTATGGGATATTCTTTTTATAGACCGATAAACGAAGGGTTTGTCAAAGGATAGGAGCTCTCCCACACCTTTTCCATCTTCATTGATAATTGTCCTAATATACGCTTAGGGTAGATTAATACACATACGTAGAGAGAGAGAGAGAGAGAGAGAGAGAGAGAGAGAGAGAGAGAGAGATTATTTAGCAAAAGTGCAAGGTACCAAGATATAATGGACTCCTTGTAAACCAACCGAAACAAAGTCATAGTTCCTTTAGTACACACAATTTAACATATCCATCCACACATGTCCCAACGGAACCGAAGGATTTCACACTCATTTAATCAGATACATTTTAAAAGCAATTGCATAAAATTGAGGAAAAGGAATTTTTACTTTTGGAAAGAACCAAAATGATTTTGATTGGCAGTGCTGCTAAGACTAGAGAAGAAGTCATCTATATCGGTGGATGATGATGATGATGTAAAAGCAGGGGGGGGATTTACCAAGCCCAGATCCCATACCCATGGCTTGACCCATGAATAAAGAATTTGGGAGCCCCTTTTCCTTCTCCTTCTCCTCGGGTCCCGCAGATAGACCACCCACGATGCCCACATCTGTCAGATCCACCTTCTTGGCTGCTGCACCAAATATATGAGAATGAATATAAGAAATCATTACCGTTATATATGTATGGCTACAAAGTTGCAATCAACTTTTGGTCCCATTGCTATTGCATTGGATTAGAACCCATGTTAATCATGGAACAAAAAAAAAAGATAAGATACTTACGTCCAGATATATTGAGATCAATTAGACCACGGCTCAAAGAATCAGCCCAAACTCCAGATTTGACTTGAAAGCCATCTTTCTTTGAGGAAAGAGGAGGAGGAGGAGGAGGAGGAGTTTTAAGATTTTGGTTGTTTAAGCTATCTGTCTCTGTATGAGAAGAAAAGGAACCAAAAAAGTCTGAATTATCAAAATCGGTCATTGGGACAGCAGCAAATGGGTCAACTATTTTGGTTGGTGTCGTTGTGTAGGATTCTGAAGGCTTATTAATCTCGGGTTGGGATTGGGGTTGCACTGCTGCTGCTGCTGCAAAAAAGTCCATGGCTGGAATAGCTGCACAACTTGCAGGTAGAGGAGAGGCAAAAAGATCAACTTTAGTCTGCAGCACAACAATGACATGCCAAAACTCTACTTTATTAATTACATCCAAACAAACAAACAAAGTGGCCTACTTTTACAGCTACCTAGTAAAGTTAAATGCAAGAAATTGCATTCTACTTTCACTCTTTTTTTTTTTTTACAACATGCTACTTCTAACTTTTTCTTCTTAAGGCAATGTATAGCGTTAATTTTTTCTATTACTTTGAAAAATCTACCAACATTTACATGTGAATATTGCTTTGTATGTATCTATCTAGATTCTAGATGACATACACGGACACGGACACGGACGGGTAGATGTTTCCAAGTCCAATACTGTAATAGAAAAAATCAAACTAGGATGTGTATGCTAATACAAAAACAAATCAATCTATTTCATACTTTTTGTTTAAAATCGAAACCAAACTGAAGAAACTCGGTTTCCAACCCCAAAAAACCAATATTCTTGGTTTTTGTTTCTCAGTTGTATAAAGCAATAAAAATAGCAATCAGTTACATGGATTTGTTTAAATCATATTTCATCAAGGACTTACTTGTAAATTTATATCTAACATAACGACTTGCTTTCAGTCTTTTTCTTTTTAGGAGAGTACATTATACAAAAAATATAGCACAGTGGAAATTGCATTCACTGGTATTTGGAAGGATAATAAGGAATTTTTTTCACTAGTAAATAGTAATAACGAATTGAAATGTTGTTAAGTTTGGTATGAGAATTAACAAGTTGACCTGAGATCCTGCTGATACAAAAGCGGCATCAGCAAACAAATCAACCTCTTCTGACTTGCTATTTCCATTACCATTAGAATTCTGTGTGGCATCTAAAAGGTCACCAATCAAACTTTGTCCAAATAAATCCACTTGTGGAGAGCTTGCAGCAACCGCCTCTGCCAAACACCCAAACTCTATCTATGTAAGCTCCACAAATCAAAGATATACTTACTAAACAAAAACCGCCTTCAATCCAACAAATAACATCCTACCTTCATTATGCTACTTGAAAAATTCTACCAAATCAATCCATGCAAATACAAACCAAATTTCACACCTATATATATATATATATATATATATATATATATATATATATATATATATATATATATATATATATATAATGTCCTAATAAGAAAAAAAAAATTAAAGTACAATGGTGGAACAAAAAGAAATGAAAGTATTATGCCATCCATAATAAAACAGTACCCTCAAAAACATTAATGTAAGCACCGGAAAAGAAAAGGCACGAATAACTAAAGAAAGTAGAGTAAAGTATACTTTCATTAAAACAAAACAATGCTGTAATTAGGTGGATTTTTCAAAGTAGGATGCCTTTATAAGAAGAAACTGAAAGTACAAGATTGTAATAAAAAGAAATGGCAGTATGATGCTCTAATAAACAATTAAATGAAAGTAGGTTGCACACATGATCAAATGCAAGAAATAGCAATGTGCTTCCATTAACATGTTCATTATAGCAATCTACATACATTTCAGTATTATTCTACGTAGAAAAACCTACACAAGCATATCAATTTCATCCAATACAAAGTTATTTTCGCTGGCATAACTTTTTGTAAATATGATGTTCTGATATATACTTAGGTGGATTCTTCAAAGTACAATACTTTTTCATATAATATGGGATTGGGGATTATACCATTAAGAGGATGGTAAAAGTTGCACAAAAATACACCAATAAAAGTAGATAGAATCATAGAACAATATAACTAATAGAATTCAATTAACTGAGGAAAAAATCGAAGAAACTTTTGTTTTGTGGATAAGGGTTAAGTGAAAAAGTTGTTTGTCAATTTTAGACAACTAGAATAGAAGCAAGAGGAGGAAAACATGATACCAAAGGAACTCAACAGTTATCTCAATGTTTGAAAGAATTACATGCACAATGCTTTCAATTAATTTGTTTACTTCTGTTTCTCCATATTTACAGCATTGTATTTAGAAAAATCTACCCAATAATTATAGCAATATCATCTGAATACAAAGCAATCTTCACTGCACATCCTAATAAGCAAAGAAAAATGAAAGTACAATGCCTTAATAAGACAACACAGTAATACAAAGAAATGAAAGTAGAATTATATAATATATAACATGCAAATAAACGAAAGTATTGTTGCATTTAGCCCAAAAACTGACAAAAAGAGGAAGGCTTACTTGAATTTGATGTTCCTCGGGGGTCAAAATCATCAAAATCATCATCATTGTCATTAGAAGGTGCACTCAAGCTTTGCAACCTAATCGAAGAATTTTTATCAGCAGCACTCTTTACTGATGCTTTTGATGCACCACTAGCTGCTGAAGAGTCTTGAATTGTGCTGCCATCCAACTTTAAGCATTAGCAACAAGACTTAAATATAAGAAAAACGCAATGCAATCAAAGTTTACATCCAAATTATCTAGTAAATGCCACTATGAGTAAAATGATATATGAACCCAATGGTGTCTTCATAATTATGTCATCCATTATGCACTTGATTACATACAAACTGTAACAACCTTTTGCAGCCATCAGGTTTTATAAATAGATTAAAATCATATCAGAACTACCCGTTTAATTTGACTGACATTTTATTATCATCATATAAATAAAATGTGTTAAACTAACTCTACATGATGCTTCTATTTTTATTCTTCTTGAAAATACTTACTCTCCACTCACCAGGCACTAATACTAGAGTCTGTTCCATCAACTACACCTCTTCACCTACTGGGAAGATGATGAGGACATTATTTGTAAAATTAATAAAACTATCAGTTTCTTCACAACTCCATTCTTGTAAGAGTGTGTTTTGTTTGCTAAATGTTTTAGAAGATATTGGAATCTGTCAAAGGAATCAGAAGTTAAAGGCTTCAAAATCTGATTTTTTTTTTTTTTTTTTTTGAATTCTGTCATGTGTTTGGTTCACTGGAAATGGAATGGAATTTGCTGTTCATAAGCATTCATGATCGAGTAGAGGAAAGCAGATAGGCAAGAGAAAAAAGGTGTTTACTTGTGAAATTCTGGGGCTAAAAGGGTATTTTAAGTAATTTTTAACAAGGAGGAAATGTTTGATATTAGAATGGAATCTTGAAATCTATCTGTCGAAGGATTCTGTGAATTGCCACAGAACTCATTTGCAATCAAACTTAGGGTTGGACAACTTCCAGAAGAGTATTTCCTTCATTATGTCATGTCATGTCACCACCTCCTACAAGGAAAAACTAAGTTGCAATCTTCAGGCAGCAGCATTGCATCCTTTTGGTTGGTATCTGATATTTAATAACCTTACGCGGTATGGCTTGTTTCTTTTATACTTAATGGACTTATTCTGGTGAACTATATATATAATATATGAGTGTTTCTTTTTAACTTAATGGAGAGAGAACGACGGAACTCATTAAGTTTTAATTTTCCTTCCATCTTCTCAAGTGTGCTGTCATTTTCGCAAACATTTTTCTAAATGCCAATAATCCAGACAACACTTAATGGAAAAAAAAAAAAAAAGAGCCTAAGACATCACACACGACCATGATCCCAGGTGAATTAAAGTTTAAATAAAACGAATGCTTCTTAACCAAACAATTTATGCATAAGAAAGCTCTGGAAAATACATAAATTTTAATGCATATATTATTTATGCAGGCAGCAACATTTCACCTTTTTTTTTTCAATTTATGTAACAAAGTGGTTTCTTAGACGAAATACGCATTTTAGGAATAAAATATGCAACATTGTAACCGGGAACTGGTTGTGGCACCGGTTACATTCTTAAGCAAATACGTATATTTTTTTAAACAAGAATAAAGATGATACCTTCCATGTCGAGACGAGCCTTTCTTAGAGTTAGAGTTAGAGGCACTCCCCGGGGTACGTGGTTTATATTTACCTGGTTCAAACCTATCTTCCCCTGATTTCTCTCTCTCCTTAAAACTATCTTTGAATGTTTCACCATCTTTTGAACTACCAAAACCCCCATATCTATCGCTTTTCTGAAAGTTACTGCTGCTAAAGGAGGCTGCTGACCCTGACTTAAATGTTATTCCCGTTGATGATAATCCAACGTACCTAATAACCATAAGTCCATAATATCACATCATTAAATTTCATACTTGTTCTAACCCTCAAAAACCAACTTTTGATGTTGTGGAATTTTGTATTCTCTTGTTCCATTGATATGAAACTCTGTATTTGGTGTTGATTTGGACATATGACATACTACTAGCTTTATTCAAACAATAACAGTCACCAAGTTTCAGTTTTGTTCCAATGTTAGAAATTGTTGAACAAAACTGAAAGTCAGATCCCATTTAATCAAATTGATCACGTCATATGGCCAGATCAGAGCCACGTCAACAAAATACAAAATGCCATAACAATAGAACAAAATTGAAAGTTGATAGAACAAATGTGAAACATATTTAGTGACATTGTCCAGAAATAAGAATGGGGAGTGTCACTTACTTATCACGGGTTGCAGCAGCTTTGTTTCTAGCTGCTTGTATCTTATCTTTATCATTCAACAGTGCCACTATGGTTTCAACCTTTTTCCTCACATTAATTCCACTGTCCTTCCCGTTTGGCTCAACATATTCGAAACATGAGAGCGACTTTGTGATTTCAAAGATTCAAACAACGATAATAGAATACGTTAATCACTAACAACAACCTTCCATTTTGTTAAATCCCATTCCTTAGCCCAGTCAATCATGGAATGGAATGAATAATTGCAACATAACCCACTTTTATTTATCATATGTAACTTTTGATGAGATAGAATTTTTTTTTAGAAATAAAAAAAAAATAAGTAAGAAATATTGGCTTTATTAGCACTTATTTGGGTTTTATGAGCTTTTAATATGTCCAATTATGATAAGTTTTGTAAAAAAAAGTTCATTAACTATAAACAAAATAAACCTGTAAAGAAGAATTAAGTTTACATATAATATAAAAAATTCTAGAAAACTCATTTCATTCCTTGAGGGCATTCAAACATGATCATGGAATGTAATGAGTCATTCCATTCCTCCTTTGTTTTCATCCTACGAAACCAAACCAAAGAGACCCCAAAAGAACTGACAAAAGAAAGATTCTAGAGCTGAAAAAAAGACTTACAGAGATCTGGAAAGTATGTTCTATGATATCATCAACTGCCCGCTCAGACCCATTTGCCACCAAATACTCTATCACAGCTAATGCCTGGAACAAAATGTCTCAGAACAAGACATACTAAATATATACATATATAAGATGTAATGTTTTGATTTGAATTTGAGACACTGGAAACAACAAGAGATTTAAAATAAATTACCTGACAAACAGCAACAAATGTGAAAAAAAAATGGTATTGGTATTTGGTAGTACCTTGTATACATGACGCCAATTGCGGTCAGTTTCAGTTAATCTAGCCCACAGAACATTCATAACCATCTGACATTCAGAGCTGCACACATAGCGAGTCAGCCAACAATCATCTAACTCAGATGATACTAAATTTCACTACTTACAACTTTTTTAGTTGCCTGTGCAATCTCTGCCAATGCAGTACCATGTGGACCCCAAGGTTCATCATCCGTTGCATCTAATACCTGTGCCAAAATCAACAACCACAATTACCAATTCAACAGATCCATCACAGCTATCAGCTATCACCTATCTATCATTCTCAACTGATCTTGGTTAGGAAAGCCTTCAAAGTGGACAAATACAAATTGATTCACATCACCTGTTTCAGCCAACCATTTGAAACAAATCTATCATATCAATGGACGGACCCACTATAATTCTACTTCGGGTCAGATTACAGCTTAGACATCAGAGCCCAAAACTCTTTTGGTTACTAATAACCTTTGGAACATGAACTCAAATCCAGAAAAAAAAAAAACAACAACAACACAAACATATTTTAAAATAACTTGGTCCAACATACTTTTAGATGCATACCATGATGCCATAGAAAGAAATTTAGGCAAGGTCATGATCAAATGCATTATGTCAGGGCAAATCGTGCTACTCTGATCACAAAGCATGCTCTTTTGACATTATTAAATTACAACTTGATACTACCACAACAACATCTAATTATCGGAAGAATGACTATACAGACCATGAAAGATAACTATATGCATAGCAATAACCTAAAATAATTAGTTAATCTACATAAATTCATCCAAAATTTGCACCATTATCATTAATTTTATATAACATATGTAACATCAAAGAGTGTGTTTGAACTTGAGCATACTATTCACTGTTTGAAACTTGAGATGCATTTTCACTTCGGAAACTTTGATATGTGGGATCCTCAAGCTCAAAATTCACCAAACTAAGACGATAAAATACTTCCATTCTAAAAAAGAGCCATACTTCAATTGCTATGATACCTTTCAAACGCAAAAGTGATATGCGTTTCGTTGCACTAATACCAACATTATTCCATTTGTAGTATGTGCTATAAAGTTTAATCCAGTCACAAATCTTTTTTCTCAAAATGTTCAAATTCAAATCAATTTCAAAGTTAAAAGTTACTTTTGTTATTGTTAATTACCCGATTTACCATTTTCAGTACCACAGTGAACCCATGTCAACCCTAAATCCTGGAATCTGAGTGATCGATTGCCCAAATGCTCAAACAACACATTCGTACATTCCTTTCTGAGCTACGATCACAAAATTAAAGCAAAAAAATAAGGTTGTTGTTGTTATTACCTTCTGTTCTATCTCAGGAACCTTCAATACTTTCAAATTCACCTCTCTCTTTCTGCAATTGGGGAGAATCAAATGAACGTTGATTAGATATCGAAGAACGTATACATCTAATTTCGTAAAAAAAAAATGGAAACAGCTCTTACATCTCACGGACAGTTTGATCGATAACTTTCATGAAATCCATCTTTGATCTGTAAGAGAACCGATGAATGACGAATTGGGATTTTTTTTAAACGAACGAGAATGGATCTACGATGAAACGTTTAGGTACCTTTCGCTCGATATCAGGGGAGACCGAATCGATATAGATCTATATAAGGAATTTTGTAGTTATAAACCTTTTGAAAAGAAATAAAACATAAATAATAGGTTAATGTCACTTAAAATGTCACTTTTTTTTAAGAGGCATAAAGTCCAATATTGTGGGTTAAAAAGGTCATTCATAGGAAATGCGAAGGGGCAAGTGAGTTTCCTTTCTTAGGTCTTGTTTGTTTACCTTTTAATTTCAAAATTAAAAGGCAATGTCTTCAAATTTCAGATTCAGACCGTTTGTTTGCGTATTATTATTATTATTTTTTTTGAAAGGGAACTTCCCTAACGAGGGTTTTCTGGGCCAGCTTTCGCGCACCGACTAATCCCCCGCTGCAAACATGAGGCTTTGCCTCATGCCCTAGAGTCACTGCAGGTGAACCTCCATGGTCACAAGGACTGAGTGGTGCCAGGATTTGAACATGGGTCAATAGGTTATCCACCATATCTTCCACATATCTTAAAATTAAAAACGCCTCTTATTTTTTCAGATAATAAACAAAGTCTGAAAAAAAAAAAGACGCGCGTTCTATTTCTCCTGTTTGCCCTAAACATATCGACCCCCTCTCTTCTTTTCTTCCCTTGCGTCTGCTTGCTTCGCGTCTTTTCTCCTCAGTTTCCGACGACGCCAGGACGCCGCTCACCCTAATTGACGACGACGCTGCACCCAGCAACGTCGCCTTCCTCCGTCGCCGCAAGGTCTTCCATCTCCGTCTCGTTCTTCCGCCGACAGCAGCAGCCAACCGCAGCAGGTATTCTTCTGTTTCTTCCTTCTTTCCCCTCAAATTCATTGTTTCTTCTTCTGTTTCTTCCTTCTTTCCCCTCAAACTTGAACATAAAAAATTGAAATTGTTATGCTATCAGTTTTTGATTTGTTCAATCAAAATCAATATTTGATGTTATGCTCGATTTTGATGTTATATGCTCGATTATGATGTTATATGCTCGATTTTAATGTTATATGATCGAATTTGAATGAGTTCAATGGATATGATGAAATGTTGATGTTGAATTTTTGATGTTATGTTTGATTTTTCATACTCAAATTTTTATGTTTAATGTTTTTATGTTTGAGTATTATGCTGAAATGTTGTTGTTGACATAATATATGTGTTTGATGTTATAGTGAAATCATATATGTTCTTGCTGTTATCATGAAATATCCATTAGTTTTGCTGAATTGTGCATTTGTTTTGTTGAAGTAGTTGTTGAAAATGTGCATTTATATTGCTTAAATTGTTGTTGAAAATGTGTATTTGCAATGCTTAACTTGTTGCTAAAACATGCATTTTTTTGTTGAATTGATCAAAGAAATGGGATAAAAGAAGGATAGGATTAGTTGGAAGGTTGATGGTGTAGAGAAAACGTTTCTAGAAGCTTGTTTACGTGAAGTTACGATTAATGTACGAGAAGGGAGTAGTTTGAAAGCACTATCTTGGAGGAATGTAGCTGAAACATTAAAAATTGAACATAACTTTATTGCCGACCAAAAACAAATGAAGAACCGTTATGACTACCTAAAGTCAAAGTTTTGTGTTTTTTAAAGTTAAAAAACAAAATCGGCAATGTGTACAATTCAATAACCAACACCTTCAATCTTTCCAAAGAAGAATGGGAAATAGAATCGAAAGTATTTTGTTTAGTTATAAAAAATATATTATCATGTTTAAATAATAAAATATTTTTTCCAAACAGTCAAACAAACATGTGGATTCTTTGAGACGCACGCCACTACCGTACCCCGACCTTTGCACACAGTTGTTTGAAGGCGCGACTGCGACATGCATTCATAGTTGGGGGCCAACTTTTACCCTTCCCCGTCCTACTTAAGATTCAAGCCACTATAGTTTGCATGATTTTGACGATGTCAATTGCACTCAACAAGAAACTGTAGGTCTCAGTGACGAGTCAAAATAAAAGTAAGAACAAATTATTGAAATCGTCCCTATGGTTTAGTTAAAATTGCACGTTTGGTCCTAACTTTTATTTTGCACTCGGACCGTCCTTACTGTTTGATTTTGTTACGTCGTTGGTCCCTAATAAACATAAAAAGACTATAATGCCCTTTATATTTTATTTTTTTATTTTATTTTTTTTAATTATTAAATAAAATAATGTATTAATATAATAATGTATTAATATAATAGGTGCCAACCATCAGCTCCTACCACCGGTAACCACCACCTGACTCCCGACCACCACCTTCCCACCACTCACTCATCAACTCCTGTAACCACCGTTTCCCTTTCCCGACTCCCATCGCTACAACCAGGCAATCACCACCGCCACTACCCAACTACTCTTGCACCACCACAATCCAATTATTCCGGAAACACCACCACCCACATATTCAGGTCGTGTATATCATGGACTTGATCAGTTACCTCCTGCAACTACAATCGATCACCACCTGGACCAAATCAAAATCAAATCTCAGAACTCAAAACTAGACCAAGATCAAGTCCCGAATCCGAAATCATAACCGTAACCTGAAATCATAACCTAAACTAAAATCAAAACCAAATCCGAAAATTAAAACCTAAAACGTAAAACGTAACCTGCAATCGTTGATGAAATCCCATAAATCAAATCCAAAAATGAATGGGGCTAGATTCTGGTGTATTTGAAATTGATAATGTCACTGAATTAAACACAATGGGATTAAACCTAAAATGCAAAACCGCACCTGATATCTCATAAATCAAATACCATTTTTCTAAATAATGAAATCAATAGGGTTAGATGGGAACGTACAAAAAACGGAGAAGAACAATGGAGCTGCAGGTTTCCGGTGGCTTGACAGTTGTAGGTTTCTGATGGCTTTACAGTTGCAGGTTTCCGATGGCTTTACAGTTGCAGGTTTCCGGAGGCGTTAGGGTTGCAAACTTCCGGTCATGGTGTTCACATGCTGGCTGATGGTGGTAGCGACTTTCGAATTGTAGGTTTTAGAAGGAGGTGGCTCCGATCGATGAATTTAGTGTTGAGTCCAGAGGGAGAGAAGTATGGCTTGAAGCCTTGAACTACGATCGATGGCTTTCGTTGTAGAAGGAAAGGGGTGGATTGGGTGTTTGGGGTGGGGGTAGTGGGGATGTGTGGGGCCCATTTTTTAATAATATTTAAAATAATTTTATGAATAATCTTTAGTAATTTTTTAAATATAAACAAAATCAGTAAGGGTATAATAGTCTTTTTATGTCTATTAGGGATGAAAGTCGCAACAAAAAGAAACTATAGGGATGGTCCGAGTGCAAAATAAAAGTTAGGGACCAAACATGCAATTTTAACTAAACCACAGGGACGATTTCAGTAATTTGTTCTAAAAGTAAAGATAAGGGTAAAGATAAGGGCAAAAATGCATCGAATTCAAGATTGCTTGAAATCGGGGAAGATATTGCAACAGTTGCTAAGATATTTGTGGAAAAGCATGCTTCTTCAAATTTGGGTGCGTGTATGGAAAAGTTGGAGAAGTTAGGATGGGGAATATTTGATCCAAGATACACTACTGTTGTTGCTCTTTTTGGTGAAGGTGCGGATAAGAGGCACGTGTGGTTAACCATTGATCCAGCTATTTGTGAGAATTGGGTCAAGACTGTTGGAGCACATTATAGAATGTTTCGCTAAGTAGATGTTTTGAAGGATTTTATGGTTTTTTTTTATAAGTAGATGTTTTGAAGGATTTTATGGTTTTTTTTTGGATAAGTAGATGTTTTGAATGACTTTATGTTTTGAATGATTTGATGGGTTTTTTTGGATAACTAGATGTTTTGACTTGATGTTTCGTATTACTTGATCTTTGGTTTGAACTAGATTTTTATATGATATGAATGACTTGATGTTTTGGATAAATTTTTATGTTATATGTTGTTAATATAATTGTTATGTATTTTCAAAATAACAGATTGCATATGGATTCGGATGAAGAAATTACATTTTTCATTTTACTATGTTGCTATTGGTTGAATCTAGCATCCAATAGAATTGGAAGGGCAATTGATAACGATTCGGAAATGAGCGGTCATCAACATACACAAGAATTGTTACATGGAACTTCTACACAATGTCATGAGTTGATGCTTCTTTCACGTGAAGCGTATGTACTTTTATGCAATCATTTTAGACGAAACAATTGGTTGCAAAGTAGTAGGCATATAAGTGTTGAAGAAAAGATGGCTATGTTCTTGACAACTATAGCACATAATAAACGGTTCAGGATTATCAAACGAAGGTTTCAACACTCCACAAAAACTGTACATAGTTGGCATCTTAGGTGCTGATTGTTTTTTTAAGCAAAAATTCATAAAGTTTGCAGACCGTCTCTGCAACCCTCTGCAGCAGAAGAGGTGGACCAAACGGTTGCAGATTGTAATAAGAAGCGTTTTTGTTTTTTGTATTATCTGCAGGTTGCTACAGATATTAAAAAATTAAAATAAACTGATTTAATAAACCGAAAATAGTTTTTAAATATAGAAAATTTAATAATTTTAGTCTTAAAACATTGAAATAAAATTCATACAATCAAATTAGTCTTACAATAACATTTTGCAATAAAGTTCATACAGCCAAGCTTTAATAATTCTCATTCCATATTTTGCATCAATTGTTCGGCAATTTCATCTCATAACTGAGTCATATATTCACGGTCCGCTGCAGTACCATGTGTTGGATCCTCATATTCATCATCATTAACGACTCCATTGTTATTCCGAACCGAGACATTTGGTTCATCATATCGTGCAAAATACTCATCACGTAGTCCCTCTCTTCTTATAAAATTATGAAGCGCAAAACATGCAAGGGTAATGTTTCGTTGTGTAACCAACGAGAATGGTGTCATCCTCTTCAATATAGGAAATCGTGCTTTCAAGACACCAAAAGCACGCTCAATGATGTTCCAAAGTTTTGCGTATGCATGGTTAAATTTTTCTTTATTCGTTAATGCACGTCTTCGACGGAAATCTCCAAGCCAATACCTCACATTACGGTACGGTGCCATAAAACCTCGAATGTTTGCATAGGCGGCATCACAAAGATAATATTTATATGTAAAAAGGAAAATAAATAAATAAATAAATAAAAATAAT